GCGGGACACTTCTTTTGGAATCAATCCAATGACTAAACAACTCCAATTCGATTCTTTCGAGAAATGAAACAAAATGTCTGCCGGAACAAGAAGAACAACACTACTTTTTCGCCTATCGGTGCTCAAGAACCATCCAAAAGTAATCTTCCTTTTTCTTGGAAAGGCAAAAAGCAAACCTTTTTCCCTAATCCAACGCCCAACAAAAAGAAACAGAAGCCAAATCGATCAAGAGGACGGAGACCGCCCAAAGACGCATCCGCTGGTGATGAAGAAGGGTCTTCCCACTCACCACACTGTCGGGAGAAGACGTCGAAGGTGTCAAACAGCGGCGGTGCCGACGATTCCATGGGTCCAATCGCCTATGGTTTCCGGAAGAATCATCTCGAAAGCACAAAGACAGACGGGACCGACATCGGGAAACGAAGCACCGAAAGCGCCCGATCTTTTCGTCTTCTACTGGGAGCCAATCTGACGTGTAGCTGCATCGTTTTTCCACGTGTCCAATAATGTCATTCATCATTTTTCCACGTGTAATAATGGGTTTTTATACGTAGTGATAGACTCATGGGATATATTATTTACATAATATAATATGCAGCGACGGCCGACGAATGATTAGAAAAATATCGGTGCCGACGCGAACACGCAAACGACGAAAGATACCCAACGCTTCCGCGTGACGTGCCGCGTTCTGAACCAGACGTCTACGTCGGCCCCGCGCGGCGACTGCGGGCCCCTTCGTCGTCCTGTGGCCGCCGCCTCTCGCATACACACCTGGTATTCCACCCGGGTAAAGGTTCCAGATCTTTCCACGGACTTTCGCCAGCCCACCATATCAAATCCCTCGTTTCCTCTCCCCAGTTCTTCGACCTTCTCGGCGATCTCGATCGATGGCGGCGGAGGCGGAGGCGGAGGCGGATGCGGAAAGCGTACTTGCGCGCTTCGAGGAGCTCCTGCGGAGGGCGGGTGGCGACGAGCGGCGGGAGATCGGCTTCTTCCCCGTCGTCTTCGCCGTGGTTGGCGCGCCTGCCGCGGAGGGGGCAGCGCCGGGGCTGGAGCGGGTCGTCATGTTCAACCCGCTCACCCGCGGGGTGGTCATCCTACAGGGCGACCCGGCGCTGCTCTCCGAGCTGATCTCCCCAGAGCCGGCGGCCGGCGGCGGAGGCCCTCCGCCGGCCTCCAAGGCCTCGATCGAGGCGTTGAGGACGGTGGAGCCAGGCGAGGAGGACGCGGGCGAGGAGTGCCCCGTGTGCCTCGACGGGCTGGGGGGCGGCAGGGGGGCGGCTTCAGATGAGGGCGCGGTTCCGCCGTCGGTGAGGGAGATGCCGTGCAGGCATCGGTTCCACGGCGGGTGCATCGAGAAGTGGCTGGGGATGCACGGATCCTGCCCGGTGTGCAGGTACCAAATGCCGGCGGAGGAGGGAGAGCCAAAGACGATAGGCGACGCCGGAAGGGAGAGGACGAGGGAGCTGATCATTACGGTAGCATTTGGAAGAAGGGATGAAGGAATCAATGAACAATAAGATCAAGAACAAGAAGAAGAAGGAATCAATGTACATAGATAGTGATTGGGGAGGTGATGATTGTGGAAGAAACTATTCATTTGTCTTAGTAGGACTCTTCATTCAACATAGTGCCTTCAATTTTTTTTTTGCTCTAAAGACTTGGACTTGGTTGAAGATAAAAATCTGAGGTCGAAGACAATCTAAATCCATATTTGGATAACCAGATGAGATCAAAGACAAAAGTTTCACTTGATATGCTTCCACTGCTTTGCGCTCAAAACTGCAGTTCTATTGTGGTACCTGTTGGCGTAAACAACTTTAAGCTGTGGTCTCGGGGCCGACGCGGCTTAGTTCGGGTCCGGATGGTGGGGGATCTCCCTGGTGCGTTCCTCGAGACTATTGATGTGGCCAGTTGCAGTGTTCCGATCGGGACGGGGTCGTCTTTTCCACCGGGAGAGGACTCCCCGCCTACGTCTTTAGTGGACGACATTCGTCTTCGCACCTGCACAAAGGTCGGGTCGGGGCGCTCGACCCAACCCCTCCGACGATCAAGTTAGAGGGTAGTTGTGGGGGTTTCTTTAGCTAAGTTCTCCTCTCTCTCTCTTTTCCTTCGGAGTGCGAGGGTTTTTATAGTGAGAATTACCGTTGTCTAATGTGCTGGCCCGCAAGGAGCGGGATCGTACTTCTGATAGCGTCTGACGTTGCCGTTGGCATGGCATGAGGGATCGAACCTGAACAGGGCGTTAATACGCCTTGATAGACGTTCAAGTCCACGTTGACCAGGTGCCTCATCAAGTCAACAGAGGCGTGATGCGTCATCTGGTGCAGCTGATGTCACACGAGTCTTATCGCAATTATTATCCTCATCAATACCACTATTGTCCTCCTCATCAGTTCTCATCACACTGCAACTTCATATTCCCAGCTGTGGCAACAATTTGAGGATATCTCACAGCATCAAAATGCATATAAATTCATTATTTATGTATTGATATGAATAAATGAGGAAGAACATTATCATTTAAATATTATAATTAGGAGATGAAAAGCAATACTATCATTTATAAAGAGAGATATTAAAAAAATATATTACATATTATAAATGAAAATTCAAATACTCCTTAAGACAGACAACATAGTATAAAAGATTGAAGCACCTTTTTCTTTTAGAGCAAAGGTCAGAAGCTTCCTCCAAAAAATGATAGATGTTGCAAACAAAAGCTGCACTCAAGAAGCTGCACTCAAGCAAAGGTCAGGTTCTTGATACAACATGTGCACAAATATATTCAACATCATAGTAGAAATATACTATCACTTAAAATAGGTTGATAACTCAATTCACTAAGGTATTAAAATATCGATTATACTTTTAAAATATATATATAAAAAAATAAGATTATTTGTTTACGACTCGAAGAGATAAAAGTTCGTATCATCCTTGTATTTAGATATAAGACTATGTACATTAAACTTACGGGCCGGCACTAGTAATACCCTTTTTTTTACGCTTAAATGGTGTTCAAATAACTCGAAAATAAGAAATTAGTCATCAAAACAAGAAAGAGATTTAGAAAAGAAACCCACTTGAATGATAAACTTCAATTATTCTACATAAATATGTCAACATTGATATCCACTCACAAGAAAAAAAAAGGTATTTGACATCTTTTTGAAAGAAGCACAAGCTTTGAAACTATTTCATGAGAAACTAATAATCCTTTCTGAAAAGAAAGATAAATAATTCTTTCCAGAAAATTTGAGACAGGAGGCCATATTCTTTAATTCTGTCAAGTCATCATTTCAATAGGATAAATAAGCATAAAAGATCATAAAATTAAACATACATAAATGTGCCACCTTTGCTTTTAGAAAGTACCCACTAGCAAAAAAAAAAAGTTGGGAATCTTCAGGAGAGAAAGTAGAAATTTGGAAACTATTTCACTGACTACCAAAAAAAAAAAAATATTTTTACATATCTATCATTTTAAATTTTAGAAATAGTGTATTGCATAACCATCCAAAAATTTATATTTTACATGTGTATTTAAGTATATTATATATGTTCCTCCCATTCATATCCATCCAATAAATTCAAATCTACTACTTCCATGATTCATTTGACACCTTTCATATTTTAATATTTTTTCAATATCATTATACTAAAAATATATGATAGAGATATATCTATAGGCTTTTGAACTTATATGACAAATATATTCACATGCTTAACTTAATTTTAGAGGGATAAATAAAAAAATCATTAAGGATACTAATGTTAATCAGATATCAAGTGCAATGATATATGCTAAACTTAAATTTAGAGAGACAAAGAAAAAAAAATATATATGTAATTTTTCTAAAGAAAAGGAGATATTGTGAGCCAATCAAATAGAGATGAGAGAGAGAGAGAGAGAGAGAGAGAGAGAGAGAGAGAGCCACCCTTTTCATCCCCTTTCTCCATTTGGCCAGTCGGTGAGCCAATTTAATGCTGTAAACACTCCAAAGACTGACTTAATTGGAACACCACAGCACTATGAATTGGTCAAACACTGAGCACAAGCAACCCATTTTTGTGCAGTGATGGTGGCAAAAGCAATGGTGGGATTGGAAGACAAAGGTGAAGAGCAGAATCAAATAACGCCACCCCGATGCCACAAAGGAACTCGTGGCTCAGAATCCCCTCCTCCCTGCTCACGTGGCCTCCTTCTTCCTCCTTCCCCTTCCTCCTCTGCTAAACCCCGCGACGGCTGAGAAAAGAACACGAGGAGGCGAGCTGAGACAGAGCACTTGAACAGGGGAGACAAAAACAGGGGAGTCCAGAAGATGTCAGAGAACAGAGAAAGCGCGATCAAGCTCTTCGGCATGACGATCCCCCTGCAGCTTACCAGCAGCGGAGACGACGACGAGGTACTTCTTCTGGCCTGCTCGGTGATCTTATAGGTGTGAATGATGATTTGACTTGTGTCGAGAGAACTGCAAAGATCGGATTTTTGAGTTCAAAGGTTGCTCCTTTCCTTCACGCCGAGTTTCGGGCAGCAATACTTGCATCGATTGTTGTTGATCAGCTAGGTTTTTTTATGGAAATCTTCGAGATTTGTCTTTGATTTTAATTGTGAGCTGTGAATTTTTTGAATCTCGGTGATGATCCTCCATTGATGTGAGAATAAATCACTTTTGTGCTTCGGTCTCAGGATGTCGACAAGGAAGACGCTACTGCTACATCACAAGAACCAGAGTCGCAGGACAAGAACGAGTCCGCCACATGTTCCAGCGAGATCCATAAACCAGTTTCCGCCGATCAAGAAGACGCGTCGTCGACGAAGAACCCCACGAAGACGGCGGCCGAAGGTGTGAAGAAGACGGAGAAGATCCTCCCTTGTCCTCGGTGCAGAAGCCTCGACACCAAGTTCTGCTACTACAACAACTACAACATCAACCAGCCGCGGCACTTCTGCCGGAACTGCCAACGGTACTGGACCGCCGGGGGCACCATGAGGAACGTCCCTGTCGGAGCCGGTCGCCGCAAGAGCAAGCACTCCTCCCACTGCCGCCTCCAAGCTCTTCGGCCCGACACCCACGAACCGGTCCATTACACCTCTCTGAGGCCAAACGGCACGGTTCTCAGCTTCGGCACGGATGCGCCGGTGGCAGAGAAGGCGAACGGCTGCAACAAGAACAGTGGTGATGAGCTGCAACAGGAGAACGAAGGATCGACCGCTCCAGTTCCTTGTTTCAGTGGATCTCCCTGGCCGTATCTTTGGGCGCCGGCTCCGCCTCTCTGTGCTTCGACCTTTCCAGTTGCGTTCTACCCGGCTGCGGCCTACTGGAGCTGGAGCATCCCATGGCCGTCTTCCTTACCTCCTTCCTCCCCTAACTACAGAGGATTAGGATCCAGTTCTACTGCCTCAGGCAAGCACTCGAGGGATGCAAGCATGATCGAGAGCAGCATTCACAAAACACCGAGGAGGATCGATGACCCGGAAGAAGCCGCAAAGAGCAGCAAGATCGACGCAGTCAGCAACGGAGGGCTCCTCAAGGCCTTCCAGCCTAAGCTATACGTCAAGAACCAAGTGCTAGAGACACCATTACTGGTGCATGCCAACCCTGCGGCACTCTCTCGATCTCTGCACTTCCAGGAGACCTCTTAGAGCAGCAGAATCTCTGCAAAGCGAACTCCTATAGACACACACAGGTAGAAACTGAGTTTGGCCAGGCAGAAACAAGTATCCTCAGATTGATGAGATGTAACAGTAGGAATTGTTCTGCTAAGTATTATTCTACATGTCAATAGGTGAGCTGTGTTAGTGAGAGGTTCATTTGTACATCAATAACTCTTGCAAACTTGATCGAGAAGAATGATAATGAGTGGCTGCTTGCTTAGATTCTCCTTTGATTTCTGTACCTATTTGGATAAGCATCAGTTTATGTTCTGGATGCTACAAGAACAGCCAGAAAGAAATTGGATCCAAAGCTCAGATGTCATAAGATATGTCTAAATAATAGGCAATGCCATGAGTGAGAAGCTAACAAAGAAGAATCATGCTGAGAAGAGGACTGAGAGCATAGTCCACAAGCAAATTATCGAAAATTTAATATGTTTGATTATTGTTTGTTCATCTTATCAGTAGATATCCAAAATAGATTTATTTTCCAACAGCCAAAGAGATGTTTTGGTAATTGCTACATATAATCAAATTCGAGTAATTTCATAGTAAGGGAGGTAAGTCGGATTTAGTTGGCTTTTGCATAACCTCATTTTGTAAGAGATACTGATGATATTTATTTGTTGTGATAATTATTCATCAATCAAACTATAAAAGAAGTAAACACATTGACATCCATTATTACTTCCTATAAGATCTAACGAAGATTAAAATTGTTGATATATCAACGAAGCTTAAGTTTTTAGATTGAATTCATACTTAATCTATCTTAACTCATACTTAGAAGAAGCAACTGCAACCACTGCTGAATGGGGTGAGAGAAAAGGTTGGGAAGAAGACAATGGCATAGATGACATGAAAGATTCCTCTTAATTAGTCCAACTATTGTCTCATTGAGGGTAGAGCTGAATTCCTGTCACATTCAGCCAAGCATCTATCTATCTTCTGCCAAAAGATGGAGAAAAGAGAGGAGGGAGATGATAATGGAGATTTTTCTCTCTCTGTCTCTTGTTTTTTTCTATATGCTGTAATGTTCTGTAAAGATAATTGTATAACATCACAGGAAATTGGACTTGAAGCAACCATCTTCATTGAAGAAATAGTTGGATCCACCAATTGCTTAGCAGCACAGTTCATTCCTATTATGTTAAGCATAATAAAAGAAATGTTTAAATACAGTGGAGGAAGAAGAATTCTCAGTCAGTCAAAGGGTTGAGTCAAAAGTCAGCAGAACATGAAATGAAATGTTCAACCACTTTGAGATTGTGGTTTCTGTCTCTTGGAATTTTGGAACCTGACCTATATCTTTCTCCATTTATCTACTGGTTGACTATCTTACTCAGGTCACCATGTTTGACCTTGGCAAGAGTACTCTCACTGTCTTACTCTACATCAGATTAAATGAGGAAGCAATGGGTGAGTAGGGCAGTGCCTTCAGCATTATTGTTATTGCTGGTAGGCACTCAAGCACTAGCTTCAGTCAACTCCTCTGACCTCTGAATTATGGTCAGACAGGTGAAGAAAATGATCAGATAAATGCAAGAAGTAATAACCAATCATGATTTGCTGCAATATGTCATTCATTATTTAGAATTCCTAAATAATCAAGTCAACTGAAATAAAAAAAAATTATCAAAAAACTTAAGGATTCAAAATCTCATTAAACAAATTTTAGTACAGTAATGATATGTTCAAAATCAAAATTTTGAATATATTATTTAGCTTAGGTTGATTGCAGCATGATCTTTAAAGATTTGTGATAAAGGATGTCTCCCTGTTTGGCCCCACACTGTGGCCTGTTTTAGGTCATTGATCAAAAGAGGTCAGCTTCTTTTTGACTTGATGAGGTTTCACTTACAATTAGGACAAATGCTTTGTCATCAAGTGATTGGAAGGTTCATTTGTGATTGAAGCACTCAACCTCACAAAGTAGACCACTTTGGCAAAGCATGGCTGCACTTTCCATCAATGGCAGGATAAAGTTGCAAGCATGGCTCAAGTGACCTCTCACTGTGGTAACTTAGTGGAAGGAAAAATTTTGAGAAGATGGAGCATGACAAGGGGAACTATAGAACAAACAAAATACAAACAACTCATGCTTTTTGGTGTCTCCTCTGTCAGTGTGGTGTGCATGCAAACAAAAAGATAAGATGGAAGAACAAAGAATGACCTAATAATCATTGTAAGCTCCAGCGATTTAAAGTGTTTTGCACAGATCTTGGCTTGTTTTTTTCCTTTGGAGTCAAATTTGTATGACTTGTAGCTTTGATCCCTGTCTACATATATGCATACAACTTTATTTTTATGTGTAATACATACAGGCTGAAGTCTAATTTGGAAGTAACTAAAAAATAATATTTTTTCTCTAATTTAAAAAATAATATTTCTTCTCCAATAAAATTCTATTATAAGATATCATGAAGAAAAAGGATTATGTTAAATCACTGATAATACATACTTTTAATATATCAATTATTACTGTCAAAATCTCGACAATAGTAATAATATCAAAAATATTTATGTCTCGAAATCGATTATACGAATGTTTTATAGTTATTAAGTTATGTTACGATAATTTATTAACTCTATTTATCAAAAAATATTTATGATAATTTGATTTAATGCTATTTATTTTATTTTAAAACCAATCTACCCAACTATTTTTTTGATAAAAATAATTTAATCATTTTATATAAAAAATAGATAAATTCTCAAAAAATACTCCTAATTTGATAAATTTGTGTAGAGCACTTTTCAAAAATTCTTATGGTATGCTTCATCATTCGTAAAAAAAATGATTTTATCCCTGCTCTTTTTATCTTTGGTCACCTCCACGTGTGTTCCCTCCATCCTTCATTTATTACCCTCGTACCCCATAGCTACATATGTCGTCGTCGATTGTCATGTCCATGACGATCGTAGAGGACAAAGAAGGATTGTCGAGAATCACCTCTGCCTTGACACACGAGCCTCTAATCTTCTCCACATAGAGGCACTTTGTCCTTGTTCGCCCTTAGCCATTGCCTTGCATCGTTATTCTATCCTCCCTTCTTTCTCTACCGCCATCGTCATCCTCGCTCGCTGTCTCTTTCGTTAGATACGACAATATGAAGAACGAAGATGACCAACAAAAGATTAGGGGGATGAGATCCCATATACGAAGGTACAAATGATTAGATTAGGGATAAAGAAAAAAAAATCTATCTTTTTAAAAGATTAGGTGTTCTCTAACAATTTTTGAAAATAGGAACATTTCGTAAAAAATTTCTCAAACCTACCGACTATTTTTTCATAAATTTACCCAAACAGAATTCTTGGTGGGTAAAATGAATAAAAAAACAAACTTCAAATTTCGAACCAAAGAAGAGAGAGAGGAGAGAGAGAGAGCGATGAGGTCCTTTTGCTCTCGATAAGCACCGCCATCCCTCTCCCTGGTCTCCGACTCCATCACCGATCGCTTCCAGTTCTTCTATCCCTAACTCTAATCCTGATGCTCACAGGTTCTCTGCTTAATACCAGACGCGGGCTTCGGCAGCAGCGAGTGGCTCCAACACGCCGACCTCGCGGAGGCGGCGCCGTCATCCGCCACCATCTGGTTGGAGCCTGACACCTGACCCAGACATGAATTCGAGACTGAAGCGAAGTTTCAAATCGAATCCGGGCTCGGATTCAATGCCCTTATATCCGGATTCCTTGGGCGTCGTACCCCTGCCTCGTTTGTTCCCCATCGTTCCTCGGCCTTTCGGTGTCTACGGTGATTGCTTAATCTCCCCATTCAAGTACGCGATGCACCGATCTCTTACTCTAATTTGCTTCTGATACTTTTTACTTCAAGATATGATGATTGCAAGACTCCTAAGACATCTAATGTTCTAATTCTTTTTCTCCCTCGTGTTGTCACTTCTCTTTCCTGTCTACACAGTATGTTTTGGCAAAATCTTGGCAAAGATTCAACCTTTGCAAGACCCTCATGACATGTTATGTTCAAGATTCTGATTTTGTTCCTCCGTTTTGCCTCGAGTTGGCAGAACGCTGAGAGAGATCTAAATTTTAGTTATATAAGCTTCTGATGATGTCAATTATAAGAAGATTACAAGATACTCATGACATGTTATGTTCAGGATTCTCTTACAATCCTCTCCGTTTCTTCTTCAGATTTTAAAAAAGTTTTCAATTAATTAGTGATGGAATTTTGGATTCCGAGCAGCAGCAGTAATTTAATCTTGATGCAGCTTGGGAGACCTCCGATAGCTGCTTGTATATGATTTGAAGGAAGAAGAGAGAATTATCACCATACTTCATTATTTGAGAATGACTTAAGCTCAAGCTGGAAATGCCGGTCTGCCCTGCATGAACTTTCTTAGAATGGCAGCTGTGCCTGTTCTAGAGCGACTACATTTAGAGGAAAGGCTTCTCAGGACCTCAGCAGACAACTGGTGTATAGTTAACGATGGGACAATTCATCTTGCTATAGTTATGGCTTATGGGAGTCTCTGGGTCAAATTGTGTTTCATAGCATATTTATTTGTTGTTTCCGTGTTCTTTTGATCTCTTTTGGTGTGCCTATAACTATTTATATCTCTCTTCTTGCATGATATGGCTACCTAAAGATTGTGTTTGGGGCTATTAAAAGAAGACTGACCATCAGCATGAAATTATAACTTCAGGAGGCCTTCAGAACTAATTTAACTGAAGTCTGTGCTTCATGATCAAATTCCTGTAATTAGAAGATACAGTGGAGGTGGTACTGTTATTGTTGATGATGGAACAAGTTTGTCAACTTTATCTGCAATAAAAATGCTATTCCGGGGCTGCAACCATATCCTCGCCCTATATATCATGGACCGGCCAATTGTATGGCGAGGTGCTTCATGGATTTGGTGACTTCCATCTCTGTGAAAATGGTATGCAGGATGAATTTAAGCTACTTCATTACACGCTCAGCATTATTTGGTATTTAAATTGTCTTTACATGTATGATTTCCTTATTTCTTCGCTTGTAAATTTCAACATCTGCTTGTCGCTCACCTGCCATTTTTTATAAATGGAATACTGGTTCATGATACTTTTGTAAACTAAACTTATCATCATAGGATATATTGTGATACCTCTAACAAAAAGATGCTGAGATGCCAACTGATTCTGAGTAAATTGGTCTCTTTCAGATGTTTGTGGATTCTATTTCAACCTTAATTGAGCAGATGTAGTTGTTTTTCTTTTTGTCAAAGCTAAACCATACTTAAACTTTGATATGTAGTTCTTGGTGACATTCCAAAAAGATCATGGGAATATCCCTCTGGCACTTACAATTATATTTATGGAGGTTCATTTTGCATTTCAAATAACTTGAGATGACTTGTTTATCACACTCACAATTATCTGAAAAGTCATGAAATTAAGACTCGTATCAATTATCTTGTTTATGAGAACGAAGCATCTCGTATTGTCAGATTGTGTTGTCATTTATCTATTATCATATCTCTTAAAATGATATTCCTTTATCCTTATTTTCAGATTATGCATTTAATAACCACAAGTTTGGTGGAAATGGTCAGTCCATAATTAAAGAGTGATGGATCCATCACACCATTTCTATGGGATTATGATATATAGAATATGGAATACTTGAAGCTTGCCTCCTGTGCTCTGAAATATCGATCGGTATAGCTCTATATCAGTCTATTTCTATTGGAAATGTGAACATTCTTATAATTGATGCTGAAATTTTCCTTTATAACTGCCTTATATTGATCATTATTTCAATAACTTGTTAAAAAAAATGATCTTTGTGTTACTTAAGGGGTATTATATTGTCATTTTGGAAAAGAAAAGTTCTATTTGTTCCCTCAAAAAAAAAAAAAAGGTGACTTGTCAGTTTCCTGATAAACTGCATGTACAAGTTTGATGGTGAGATGATTTCGATACGAGTGTTGAGTTGACTAGCTAAGTGATTGTAACACTTGAGTCCTCTGTTCATCCAACTTACACAGGGTGTGAACTATAGTTGTCATCCCTCAAGGTTATGCCACTTGGTAAAAGTATCAAATCTTTGTTCAGTTATAGATCATCACATGAATGGCATTATTCTTTATGCTGCAAAACCCACCAAAACTCTGGTGGTTATTGCACTTTGTATGCATGTTTGTATGTCGATTCCTATTAGATTTTTGCTATCATCTTCTGTCAGTTTTTTCCTCAACTTTTTTTGTTGTTGAAGCTCTGCTCCATGTATCAAATGTAAATTATTTTCTAGTCCAATAACAATTTTTACATTCAAATTTAAGATAGATGATCTGGTTATCTGAATGCTAGTAATCTGAATTCTCAATGCTTCCTATATCAGACACGATCTCATGTTAAATTCTTGTGCCGAATGAAAGAACATGCCCCATCTAGATCAACTTTTATAGAAAGAACCATCAAATCTCTTGGAAGCTATTTCTTAATTAGACCATTTCAGCTGGATGAAATCGCAGGTCGTCCCAGCACTGTCTTTGATCAGGAGCTGAAGGATGCACGTTCATCACAGTGCGAGGACTCAAGATTGCTGGCTTTGATCAGGATCACATCCTGATAACTCAGTAATGGCTCTCAGATTCTCTAGTGTTCTGTTTTATTTCATGTCACAGCAATGGAGGCCTGATGGCATGTATCTCTCAAAACATTTGAGGCACTGTCGATGAAAGTTAATATGATATGTCGTAATAAATTGATTTGGTGATTATAATCTTTTATGTGCCATGTCAAATTTCATTATATATCTGTCTGCCAGTTTGATTTCGATCATACGAGTCTCTTCATGTGATCATGATTTTATTGGTGTTGATGTTATAACAGATTGTTTTATGTACTGAACGATCGTTGGACATATGTAAACCCTGCAGGCATCAGCACAAAACAGGTTTGTATGTAAACCCTGCAGACATCAGTAACTATTTTGCTCTCCTGTAGAAGATAACATCATCACAGGAAGCAAACCCTCCCAAGGAGGAACATATCTGAAGCCTGATTCAGGTTATGAGCACTTGTAGAAAAAAATGTATCATACTTAAATCCAGATAACTAAGTTTCTAAGAATATTATATTAGGTGCAAGTGGCATACATACCAAGATACAAGCAAGGGTAACAAACTTGCTTCAGATACAAGACTGGGAATGCCCGAGGAAACCTACCCATGAGTTATGATTTGAAGCCAATACACTTCCAGAATGACATGTTAAAGTTTTAGGGCATCACCAACACTGAAAAACCTGAAAATGGAAGCACATTCCCATGCCCTAATTTAAAGCTTTTACAAAAAAATCACCCGGCGCACTCAAACTTCACAATAACTGCGAAACCATGACACAAAAGAAGCGACCACAACTGCCAGTCAGACAAACCGGTTCACATTTTGTTCATGGATTGACTACTTGGGGAAGCATGGCTTTTATGTTCCTACTTGTGACACGGCTGCACCATCTTGTTAGACATGGCTAGATGTCTGATGACGAGGAGCACCAAGATGTTCCTTGACCCACTCGTATTCCTCCTTGAAAACCATTGGATGGACAGAGCCCACTTTTCTTCAAATTCTCTGCTCGTTCCTTGGCCGAATTTCCCTTCAATGACAGCTGCCTCTTGAGACGGTTCCGACTCGACAAAATCATCTTACTCTGGTTTGGCGTGTGTAAAGCCCCTTCTACACAATCTCCCACCTGTGTGCAGCTCCACATACTCGAAGGCCCTTCTCCCCTTGGTGATCTTAACCTTGGAATTCTATTTCTCGCCAGGCAAACCGCCCACTGGTCTGGAACATTCTTGTCTGGCTTCGTGCAAAGCGGGCAAGGCGGATCATGTTTGTACGTCTTAGGTGTGACCCGCTCTAAGCATTCAGCATGATACACATGCCCACATGACAGGACACTAACTACTGGCATATCTCCGCTACGAACAATCCGGCGAGAACCCCATGGTGATCTTTGAGACAATAACCTCTCACAAAGTCCACATTTGGAAACCTCAGGCACAGCATTATATGGATAACCCACCTCAGGTTCCAATTGTTCAGAGATGCCTGTGAAGTCAACACTGCCAGTGCTACTCCAACGCACTGATTCCCTTGGAAGGTTGGCACCAATCTCTGAGAACCAAAGAGAATGAAGCTCTGGCAGCGGTCTGGTGGACCTATGATCAGAATGTAGACTGCTGCTGGAGATTGTAGAACCAACAGTATGATTTTGTTCTTCAATTCCAGTAATGTGGTCAGGGAATGATACAGGATGAATGGGCTTTGACATGAAAAACCGATGATTGGAGAAGCTGCGGCGGGCAGAACTGTGGGATTTTGATATAGGATCATATTCACTGCCATCTGAACGGGAAGAAATGGAACCATTAAAAGATGAGAATCCTAGAGTTCCCTGCAGGACCAGAGCACAAATTAGTCCATATTGTAGAAACTCAGCATAATACAGGATATATTATTTGTGCTCATCGCATTGCAGTTGAAATACCTCCACCAATGATGAGATCAGAGGTCCAGACGCTGGATCTGGTAATCAGTGAAACAGCTTTCAGTTGAAGATATATCATTAACAGAATTTCAAGATACATATACAGATTACAGATATGTAGTATGCATATGCTTTTGGCAGTCAAAACATGTCCAGATCAAATTGTATGATATACTACGGACAAAATTGTCAATGGAATAACAGGAAGCATAATATCCAACCAAGATAAAGCACATGAAACAGTCAACTGATAAATCACAGGGAAATGAATCTAATTAGGGATTAGAATGAGCCAATAATAGGTCAAGCTTGAGCCTCATGGGTTCCAATTCTTGTTTTATGCTTTTCAAGTACATCCATAAATTTTCATCATGTTCTCTAGCTGTTTAAAGGAATTATACAAAATGTATTTTAGGCAATATCAAACCAAGATAGCAAAATAGTCCCCATGTTCTTGTTAAGATTAGTTTTATAATACTAAAGGATCCAGGTGCCCTAACATAAAGGGAAACATGGAAGAGGTGCACTAGCAGCTGTCTTTTAAAATACTCCCAGAGTTTCCAAGTTTTCTCCGAGACTTCATTTGATATCAAATCTGAAGAAACCTAATAGCAAGGTTCAAAATATTGGAGTCAGTCCAAAATTGATATTGGACTCTGGGATCAAGAAAAGACTGTTGAGTCAAAATTGATTAAAATCAGATTTAGTCCAGTCAGGCTGACAGGTAACAATCAGTATATGCTGGCTCAGCTAGGAGAAAAAGGAATCATCATTTTCTGCTGAAATTGGCTACATATACCGAGAAACTGTTAGCTCAAGGATGGCAGGAATCACCTTAAGAATGGCTAGGATCAATCAATAACAAAAAAGTTGAATAAAATTGGCTGGAAATGGCTAGGACCACAGTGGACTGAAAATATCTCATCCCAAAACATCTTGAATTTTATGGCGATCAAATCAGATCAAGTCCAATACAAATTGGTCAATTTTTAAAACTCCACTAATCCCACTTGCAACCTCCGGTTCCACCCCAGAGATGAATTAATTTTAAGCAGATGTCCCTGGTTCATCACAGTCAATGTTACTATTAATTTAGAATTGCTATGTTTTATAATGATACTAATTAGAACCACCAGCTCACTGCAATCTATTGTAGCACAAGGACAAAACTTATAGTAGCAGAACATGTACCATGCTACCAACCAACAAACAGAGCAGTGGGATTAATCTAGAAGTTCAATCCTATCCTTCCACTATGGAGGGCATGATCAAAGTTGCTATTAGTTTTTTAGACAACTGCTTGCCGAGGAGAAGAGATAGTGGTCAATAATGGCAAGCCTCAGTGTTGTGACTTGGTGATTATGTATCAAGTCATGCAAACTTCTTTGCTCGAGAGTAAGGCTGAAAATGTTGACACTCGTTAAATCTTGTGTTGCCACAAGTCTTATACATTTGAGTCACCCCTTTTAGAAAAACAACAACAACAAAGCTGAAAACCCCAACTACTTGGGGTCAGCTACATTGATCTTTTGCTGCCATTGAGATCTGGAAAGAGTCATATATCTAGTTAAGTTTAAAGCAATTCTAGTTAAGTTTAAAGCAATTGAATCTTTATTTATAGTTTCTATTAAAGTCTTTTTAGGTCTTCCTCCATCTCTCCTCATACCACTAACGTTAATCATTTCAGTTCTTCTACATCCGTGGGTTTCCTAACCATATGCTTATACCATCTTAAATGGTTTTCTCTCATCATAAAGCATTGTTACTCTCACAACTATCATATACTTTTTTTTTATTCTCAAATATATCCAATGATCACACAAGACTCTTGATTCCTCTCATCATTTTAACCATCCTATTTTTACTCAATGAATATGTTTTCTTATCGATCTATCCATCTTGTTGACTAATTGATCCAAGATACCTAAATTTTTTATTTAAAAGAACTTTCAGTCCATCCAACTTAATTATATTTTCTTGTATATTCCTAGAATTACTAAAATTGCATCTCATATATTCAGTTTTAGTCCTACTTAATCTAAAACCTTTATTTTCTAAGGATTGAGTAGGAACATTGAGTGAGGAAAATAAAGTGGAAGAAGATTTGGATAGATATCTATATATGGTATTGCTTTATCATTCTTCAACCTCTTATGTTCCATCAATCTGTCTCATCTTGACGTGCATGACCCATCTGGGGGGTTCGTATAATGTTCTGAAGAACAGACTAACCATTAATCCAAAATAAAAGGAAGGTAAGGTTTACAGGTTCAACCGAGTCAAACAGGAGGTCACACTGTGTTCGCAGATGGAATGCACTTGAAGTATGCAAGACAGAAATAAACCTATCATGGAAAGGCATATAGGAGATGTCCCTCTCAGAGTCAGCTTATCAGACAAAGTTGTCGCTCCTTACCTACAATCCCTTGTAGGCATTCACCTCACGATAAACTATATTTCAGTTAACCAATAAATTAGTTATGTAGCATTAAAGATGTAACATTATAGGTATTGGCGCAATGACAATGACTAGAATACTATTCTTTTTTGAAATGTCAAAAAAGTTTGTTTAGTGCAAATGATGGTGCATTCCAAGACAGAATCTGGAAGCAGAATGAGTAGTAACTTACACAGAGAAGATTAGACACACATAATGAATTCCTTATTATTTTCAGATTTCTTCTCTGCAATATATATCATAAACGTACCTATGTCAATTTGCCACAATCTCTCCGATAGCTTTCAGAATGGTACAAGCATGCTATGCTTGAAACACTAAAAATTTTTCAAGATAAATTCACTAATAGAGATGCTAAATCAATATATCAGCTAGCGTCCTTATGAAACTTGATGATATGCAAATAATTGTATGGTCTAATCTGCAATGAACTACAATACATTACAATTTTGCGTTACTTCAAGCATACAAGATTTACAGTGGCAAGATAACAAATACCAAAGCACTTTATCCTCATAACAAAATACACAAAATAAAAGCAATAATACTCCAAATTGAAGAGTACCTCCAACAAACTCTTCAACATTAGCCCCTTGTGTGGGTGCTGGTGTCAATTGATGATTTTGGAAGCTATCAGAAGGGCTACTGATATACGAAATTGCACCATCAGAGGCAGAAAATTGATGATTGCCAGGAGAATCACCCCTCCCCCAGCTCCTGCTACTTTTACTATTTGATGAACGAGATGATACATAACGTCCAACTCCACCATCTCCTTGAGAGCCAAACGAGAGCCCTTCAGAATGGAAACGATAATCCCACCTCGTCGACAAGGGTGGCGAGATGCTCGAGTTTGTCAGCCAAAATGGTTCATTGCGACCCACAGACCATTCCCTACTGGTGGTGCTAGACCCATGTGGCCTTGCGGCCACACAGCAAAGCGACCCTATCTTAGCTATTAACTTTAAGATCCCACGAGAATCAAAATTCTCTTCTTTTAATCACTCTATCACAAACACAATCAGAAGCACATCACATAAAAATAACCCCTCTCGACTGTACTACACAGAAATGTAGCAATCAAAACCACAAATGACTTGCAGCTTTACCTCCAATCCTGAAGAAGCAAGTAAAACTGCATCTTAGCAACCAAAGGAAAGAAGAACACACCTACTAAAGCTCTGTGCATGTTCCAGATACTAAACTCTACTCTACTTTACAGAAATGCAGAACTCAAAACCCTCAATGATTTGCAGCTCTAAATCCAACCCTAAAGAAGCAAGTAAAACTGCAACTTAGCAACCAAGTAAGAAGACTGCCGCGTGCATGTTTCAGATACTAAAATCAAGAAAGGTACACAAAAAGAAAAGCCGAATCACCCATAACCCCCAACAAGATTCAATCTTTAACCTAAAGAGGCGCTCGAAATGATCAGCAGCAATTGTCGGTGCAGAAAATAAACCTAAACAGATGCAAACGGAAACATCAACATAAACCCCTCAGACCTACCTTGAATCTCCACGATTTCCAGGTTGGATGAAGAAATCCAACATCGACTAATCCATAAAAGTCAAAAAACCTTAACAAATCGATTTCTTTTCCGTACCAAAGGGAACAACTTACAGGGTTATCGGAGGACAAAACGGAGCGACAAGAGAGTGCGCGCCATGGAAACCACAAAAGCAGGGCCGAACAGGAGGCGGAGTCGAAGGGAAACCCAAAAAAACCCTAATCTTTTAGTAGACGCGAAGCGAAATAAGAAAGTGGGTTTCAAAGTGGGAGGAACAGAAGAAGAAAAAGGCTATAAAAAAGACAGTTTTGGAGTGGGAGAGAGTAACATAATGAGTAGTATTCCACTAATACCCCCTTTTTATATTGACTTCAATAAAAGAGGCTTTACATATATCTATCATTGCAAGTCTCCCAATATTATATTTATCATTATATGATTTTTAATATAACATATAAGCTTATGTCACTAATATCCATCTAAAATACTCGATTTTCTTACTTAAAGTTTGAACAATAATAGTTTTATTTAATAAATATTTTGATAATTTAGATTTTATAAAAAATAATTTTATTTTGATTTATAAAAATACATAAATCATACAAAATACCTAAATTTTCTTTTAAAATTCTTATCATCATGATAATTTTTTAAAGGATTTGAATTACCATTATTATATATGTAATCAAATTTGTTACACTAAAAATATCATAAATCTATTTAACATTGAATCGATCGAACTTGTTCGATTTAAATCATAATTATATATGATAATTTTTTTGTTTTTGTGCATTTTGAAAATAAGAATTTTATTTCTGGAGAAAACTCACACTTATATATAATGAAATATATACAAAAAATTATTGACTTTTGGGAGAGATAGAATCATGTTCTAAATATCCTTCTAAAACACTTAATTTAATCACTTTTTAACTATAAATAATAATTTTTTGAGCTACAAAACATATAATAAGTTATATATATATATATATAACTTATTCTATTATGCTATTTCTTGAGCCCGCCCGCTTCGTCATCGCCACGGCTCCGAAACGCTCCTGCCAGTCGCCGCCAAGACGAAGCGAAGGTCCCAGAGACGAGAGGCGGATGGCGGCGAACCCGTCGACGTACTCTCCGTCTCAGAGCTCGGAGACCAGGCAGCAGAAGCGAAGACTGTTCCAGAAGACCGATTGGACTCGGTGCAGGCCCGCTTGTTTGTATCCTCTCTCTTTATGTTACGCCCTCGAGTTGTTCGATGTTTTGCCTACACGAAGAACATTAGAGGAATTGACATTGTGCCGTGCAGCTCTCGGGACGGGCGCTGCCAATTCTGCCTCAGGATCTGCTTACCCGGCGTTCGGAGCGACCACGGTCATCGTATCCGTGTAAGCAAACTCCGCCAGTGCTCAAAACTTGTGCCTTCTGCGAAATGCATTCATAGAATTCTCATTGTTCTGCTCAAAATTGCGAATGTCGTATGGTATAAGTAGGTATTTTATGAAGTGACATATCTACTCAAAATGCCTGCTCGATCCTTAATCTAGCATCTCCATCAGTCTTGCTTCTCTCCTCTACAACTAGTAAATTGAACTGAGTCAGTATATGCTTGTCATCTTCAAAGTTACTGGTTCCTAGCCTTTCCTATATGTGTTCAGTGTCTTCCATGTCAATGTAACCTCAAGAATTAGATACATAAGAATCTACTTACTTTTTCTAGGTCAGATTCGATCTGTGATGGATTCCTATTCGATCTACTCGACGCAACAATTTGGTAGGTATCATGTTGACTGTTTTGTGATTTGTGCGCTATGACATGGGCAGATTCTTCGACGAACCATTGCTGACGCTGCAAAGGCCAGAGTTGTACTTCCACAACCCACTACGGACTTGTACCGAACAAGATAACGACAATTCCACCAATAGATCTCTCCACATATCCACCATCGCTCAAAAAGCAGCAGCAGAGTGCATGAGATGGTGCGGCAGCAGCAAAAAGCTAAAGCTGAAGCAAAAGTGTGAGCTTTCTTTGGTCTTGCAATCCATATAGAAGTCACCCACTACTCACATCACATGCTTCCAGTGTTCATCTCCTCTGTGAACACAGTTATCTTCTTGCCATTTCGTCTGTCGTAGAGCTTATTCCAAGATTCTTCACAAAGGGATCATTGGCTACAGCTTGGTGTTGTAGATTCTGAGTCCGATGTCCGGAATAGAGCAGTCGATGACCGGCGTCCACAGGCCGTCCGTGTCGGCGACCACCGTGGTCATGGTCGCGGGAGTCATCGCCTCCACCGCGCTCTTCGTCCTCGTCTTCTTCCTGTACCTGCGTGCCAAGCGCTACTGGGGTGCCATCCCGGTCAGCATCCGCGGCCGCTTGGCCGAGCCAGCGGCTGCCCAGCAGCGAAGCGGCCTAGACGCCGCCGCCGCCGTGGGGGCTCTCCCTTCGGTAGTGGTCCGCGCCGGGGACTGCAAGGAGGGCCTGGAGTGCGCGGTCTGCCTCTGCGAACTGTCGCGGGGCGAGGCCGCGAGGCTGCTGCCTACGTGCGGCCACGCCTTCCACATCGAGTGCATCGACGCGTGGTTCTCCTCCCACTCCACCTGTCCTCTCTGCCGGAGCCCCGTGGTGCACGAGAAGCCCCAAGAGGCTGGTTCCGCCGCTGAATCGGTTCCTGGCCGCTTCCACTCGGAGGAACCGCCGCCGGAGATAGAGGATCAAGCTGGCCGGAGCTCGAGCCCTTCCGATCATCCTTCAGGTAGTACGCCGGCTGTGTCGGTGTCTGAGACACCAAGAATAGCAGTGGACGGATTCCAAACCCTGAATTCTTCGGCAGCAACGTTGAGGTCGTTGCGAAGGCTGCTGATTTGCGGAAGCAGGACGGGCGGCGCTTCCTGCAGTAGTCGAGAATGCGACGTCGAGCAGGGACGTCTTCCCGTTTGATAAAAGGCTGCATGATGCAGAAAGCATTGTTCTTCCACTGAAACAAACGAAGCTTTTCATCATCTACATTTCCATTACATCTGTACAGTGTCTCGAGGCATTTAGGAGTTGCAAGCAGAGGATTATAGCTTCTGCACTTTTGCTGCTTCTTTTGTAAATCTAAGTCAATCCATGTCGGAACATTTGATACTGAGTTCTCTTTATGGCACAAAGATCACTCGTGCTTTTCTTTCTCCTCCTCTTATGGGATCGGTTTTTACTTGTTGTGGCGTTGATGGAAATGATCGATCATCCACAGATATTACTGCTAATTTCATGATTCAGCTAATCTGTGAAGACATCTATGCAAAATGGAGCTTCCAGATTCTGATCTATGTTGATATGCCAACTGAGCAGACCACTGAACGATCCCATTGATCTTATCCAAATTGCTTTTGAACCACAAATTGATAGTTCTGAGAGTGGTAGATATCTTGACCGACATGTTCTATAATGGGTGGCTTCCAGCATCCTATTCTCTCATCCTTTTTCTTTGAAGAGAGAAACAGGTCAATTATTTCTTCATTCAGATTCTAATCATATGATCACTCGAGTTTACACGCACACATTCATCAATGAATTCGGACTACAGGATTCCTGATGAATATATCGAGTAGATCATGATAAATAATATCGAAACTAATCTAATATTAGATATGACGAGTGACTCTGGTGGTAGACTAAGACTTAAATTCTTCAAATGGAAAATTCATAATGCTATTATTTCAATATCATATTTGAAATGTGAGAAGATTTGAGTTAATCTATACAAACTGAAAAACAATTATACTAAATTGAATTTAAGTTTTTTTTTTATTATGCTTCAATTCAACTAGAAAAAAAAAAAACATCGTACTCTCGATTTAGCCTCCGTCCAAATCTAACTATGATTGAGTTAGAGGTAATATAAGTTTTCTCTAAGATGTTACTGCAGCTATCACATTCCTCTCTCGGAATCTGCCCAAAGTGAATGCAGAGACAGGGAGGTCCACCTCTTTGTTCTCGAGCTGCGAGACGCCCAGTGAGACGACAAGCGGCAGAACAGTGGCGACGGGTTCTTGGCCGTGCGTCTCCGTAGCTGCGGCGACCACGCACTCCGGCAGTACAGCCGACCATGTCGAGTGGAAGCGGACGTGGCCAGAGCATAGAACGTGAAAGGAAGTTTTGGAGTTGCAGAGCATGAGGCCATAAAAGATAAACGAGTCAGGGAACTGTCAATTAGAAGATACCAAATATCATCTGTTCATCCATCATTTATTCTCCTCCAATGGAACTGCCACTATTTTCCAATTTGTGATCAATCTCTTTTTTTTCCTTCTTCTTGTGCTATTTCTTGCGTAACAAGTTACATGGTGATGTTCCAATCACTCCATATTCGAGATAATTAAAGGGGTGACTCATGTTCGTCAAGGAATCGATATATACGAAGTACGAGTATCCGACAAGATCCATTCGACGTTCAAGTTAGTTAATGCTGAAATGAAAAGTGAAATCACGAGTAAATAATATCTAACTTTTATAATAATAATAAAATAATAATTTTTATAGATGAAAAAATATATTTTTTTTTGTAAAATGAGCATAATATTTTTTTTTCCATGGTCCATTGTCATAATTATGTTAGGGTGGCTATCATGCTGACTATATATTTAAATTATACTGATCCCACCACTTGTGACATGAGGGGGACTACCCAACAAATGCAGTGTTGCTGAAAAGCCTTCTCTCACAAAAATTGATGCAGATGACAAGGTAGAAGATTTTTGGTTGGGTGTACAAAGTTTCAAGAGCTTCAATTGCTTGATTCAGCAGTAGAAACAACCTATGCAGCTTTGCATGCTACTCCACAGAAAGAGCACTACCTAACATGTGATGTTCCAATATCTTCATCTCCACCAGCCAAAGATAAATGCTTCAGAAGTGTGACCTGTAGTCCATGACAACTTGTTCTTTCCCTCTGGAGAATTGTGCAGTCGGTAAAGGTCAGAGGACTCCAAAAGTTTGTCTCATGAAGGTTCACCAATTGTTTGTCCTCTCTAATGTTCAACAACACACGATTAGTTCCAGCAAAGTGACATCTGCCCACCACCGGCAGAAACCAAACATGGAGAAGAAGAAGAAGAAGAAGAAGATAGGTTTAGCAGTAAGTAAGCAAATAAGTCAGTGCTGTCAGAAATCCTATGGTAGGGGATAGGATAAATGATGGCTTAATAATATATCCACCAGATCTGTACATCTGTTTAATGAGCAGATGTATCAAACCCACACTATTTATTGGCAAATCATGGATCTTGTAAGTCAGATTTTGATCATTATTTCCGCATCAGATCTCATATAATCCACTAGCTTGGATGGTTAAGACATTCAAATCCTCTTAATGATCGACCCGATGTCGCATCTGATAGACAGGATTATTCAGCATAGAGCTTTAAACTTCAGCCATGGAAGTGGATCGACCTTTCAATTCAGCTTTTTCTTGCTCCAAACATCTCCTGGCCTACTTGATGCAACTGCAAAGGTGTGGCCAACTTCTGATAGTGATCTCTAGAGTTGCTCTTGGACTGTTTCTTAGCTTCTTCAATTATGCATTCGGTTCTGGCCGTCCAATTCTCTCTCACACACAGCACTGCCTACTCATCTTGATTCTATGTTACCTCTGATGGGTCCAACCATTTTGATCATGAACAACCAAGACAACACTTGCAAACACACGAGAATTGAGGTGGATCCATCCTAACTCTCTTTTTGCTGCATAGGTTAGCTTGTCTGCATCAGCTTTTCATATCAATGGTTAATGTGCACCCGTGCATGCACAAACAACAGCCTGTTCATGGTGACATGTGTGTTTACTGTGACAACGGACTTCCGAGATGATCAACCTGCAGGTAAATGGCTTTGTCAGATCCGATCTGCTCTCTCTGATGATAAATGTGATGACCAGAAACCATACCTCACTCGAAGACCTGAAGTCGGATTTCATATGAGACATCGTTCATGTGGTCTTGCTGTAAGGGCTCTAAATTCTTGAATGCTGCCATTTTGCTCTTGCTGTGGTTGATCCTCGCAAATCTGCTGCTTGCTGAAACAAGGACATTGTACCCCACAAAATGCTTTTCGATACGTTTGCGATCGAAAGGGAGCTAATTTTATTGCAGCATAATATGGCATTTCAGCCTTACACAGACAGTCTGTAAACATCAAAGACGATTTATTTTTCTCTTTTTAGTTTTGTCGACGAGTAGCTCTCGGCTTAATTAAGACAAAAACTCATGAAGGAAGCCTCCTTCTAGATCTCGGACATGTGAACAAACAGATAGACTTGCCGGTGATGCTTCTCGCTTGGAACTACTTAGCGCCATTAAATGCAGCTTCTCCATCAGCTGCCAGGGGTACAGACTCGGCCTGAAAATAAAGATCGAGCCGATACAAGCATTAGCCAAGTGACAATACGATGAGCGACTCGAGTAAAGACACTGATCTAGGTGTGTGGCTTTTTACCAAATTGCGATATTTGAGGGCATAGAACATCTCAAGGTAACGGCGAGTCTCGCGCCTATCCAGGTTGGACACATACTTCCAGAAGCCATAAACTCCCGACAGTGTCATCAGCCTCTCAGAGTAGAGCTTCCAGGTATACCTAATTTATTTGAATTTAGAGTGCAAGTTAGAGAACTTTTTACAAATCCTTGATTTTGGCATTCATTGATAATAAGAAAGCATCACTGATAGGAGGAGGTCTTACTTCTCTTCGATCCTCCGCAGCCCTCCTTGGGAAATCTTGTCCCAGTAGGTTGGGTCTTCCTTGCACTTCCCAAAGAAATTTAAGATGATATTAGCAGCTTTGTCACCCTGGTAAGGATCGATGTGGAAGCCGGAAACCCCATCTACGATAATTTCACCGGGTCCTCCGTGAACAGTTGCGAATGTTGGCAGGCCACACGTCATGGACTCGATAACAGTGAGTCCAAAGGCTTCGTAGAAGGCCGGCTGAGGAAACGAAAGTAGAAAAAGTAGGTTAGTAGCACTTCAACTCAGAAGGTAATTCGGCTATCGAGTGTTCATAGCATGCCATTCTTCCACAAAGTAGAGAAGTACTTGAACGAAAGCTCCTCTTGAGTCGGCAATGTATCTGTAGAGCTCGCCATTGCGAACCCGGTTCATTTGGGCAGAGATCCAACGAATATGCCCATGCAAATTGTACTTTTCAATGAGACTGTACATCTTCTTAAACTCTGCTTGTTCTTCACGATCCTTTGATTCTTTCCCGTGGTCGCCGCCAACCACCACAAGGTTCACCAGCTCCTTCAAGCGATCATTCTTGCCATAAAACTCGACCAGGCCTGTTAAGTTCTTCACACGGTCCAGTCTTGCCATGGAGAATATGATGGGTTTCTTAGTGTCATTCAGCACACCCCTGCAAGAGACTCGAGTCAGTCACCGCGCCAAGCAAGACAAATATAGTAAATGCAGTAGAAACAATGGGTGCTTACTTGTGCTCGGTGTTATCTTTAGGATTGAATAGCAGCTCCTCGATCTCTGGGTGCAGCGAAGTGAGTCTCTTTTGCTTCTCGGTGTATGGGAAGTAAATAGTCATATCAGCCCCAGGAGAGACAATGTTGAACTTCGGGTCGAAGACATCAATTCCATGAACAACCCGGTAGAGTCCAGGAAGAGTAAAGGCAGTGTGAGACTCATACTGCCCCACGGTGTCCTTGCTGAAATCATATAAGATATCAGAGAATCTCATTTAAATAACAATTGTCATTTTGGTACTCCGAGATTAACATAAGAATTTTGGAGCGGAAAGCTGTTCGGTCTTAAATCTTAATGATACCTTCCAGCAATCTCCTGGAAGGTGCTGGTGATGATAAAATCAGCATGATTCATCGCAATCAAGTCAGCTGTGAATTGGCATGAGAAATGATACTGATTCTCGAACTTCTTCCAGTAGATGTCTGAGTTAGGATACTTTGTTTTCTCCAGCGCATGCGCAATGGTGCACTGTATGTGAAAGAAAATGAGCATCACCAGTTCAGGAAGCTTATAGTCAGTAGTGCCAGGGAGCAGCACCAATAAAGCAATTACGAACTGAAAGATTTGAACCTGGGTTACTCCCAATTTATGCGCTAACAAAGTTGATACGAGATTCCCATCACTGTAGTTTCCGATGATTAGATCAGGAGTGGCCTGCAGTTCAGCTGCCAACTCATTCGCAACATCCTACAAGCATAAAGAAGACATGAACTTTCTAGTACAAGTTTAACAGAGCAGATCAAGTAATCATGATATTAAGATGTTATTGAGGTGTGTACCTCTGTATAGGTCTCGAGGTAAGGCCATACTTCAAAACGGGAGATCCATTTGCGGACAATTCCGTTCTCCGTTCTAAATGGAACTCGAAGAATATGAGTGTGCTCAGTTCCAAGGACCTTCTCAAGTCTCTGCCCGCAAGTAGTGCCTACTGCATCAGGAAGCAATCTGGTAACCTGCATCACCACAGTAACATAAGCTCAGGCCGGCTATGTTACCCTATATTATCTTTAAGATCTGGAGAGAATCCATGACCACAAGAATTTGCCGATCAATCTAATTCCAATCTCACAATAAGAATTCGAGGTGTGATATGTAGCCCTTGACGCTTGATCCTCAAAAGCATCTCGTTTTCTAGAGCACGGACTTGATCCAAGATGTAAACAACCTGCAAAGGAGGCATCTCGTGAGAGATTATTTCAATTTGATCAAAGTCAACGCCAGTAAAGAAGAAATCATACCTGACCACCGGTGTCCGGATAACCCAAGACATTAGCCTGGGCAAAGTAGCCATGCGGAGAAAGGATCACGACGTTGAACATCATAGGAATTATTCCAAGGAAATTTTCCAAGGTGGTTGGGTCAGGGGCCTCAAGAAGATCTAGCAGTAGATGGATGTTCTCATATACACGCCGAGCTGTGTCGCCCCAACCCTTTTCCAAGCCAAGTTCTTGAAATCTAAAGCCAGCCAAAAAAAGAACTTTTCTGATCACAAACGACATCTAAAGTTCCCTCCTTTGCATGAAAAATAGAACTATATATTTCAGTTTATAAATAGCCGGGGAAACATGAACAAAAAAAGAAACATAATCGATTACCTGTGGTTGAATTCTGAGTATGGCGTTTTCGATGGGATACTCAATAAATGTTGCTCTGCCTTCCTTAGTGCAGCTCGGAGGGCACTGAGGCTTTGTATTCTATCATTCAGCATCATAGACTGCAAACACAACAACAACTACATAAATTTGCAGACTCCAGTAAAGTTAGCTATCTAAGCCTATAAATTTGAATGATTAAGCCATTTGATATAGCAGAAATGAGTATCGGACGTATAATAACACTTGCCAGTCATCTCAAGAAAACTAAATTTTCAGTAGTCAAATACCATCAGTGGATTGCACTTCTTTCTTTCCCTCAACTACAACTCAAGTCTGAAGTTTATAATCTTTATTAAGATGCTTAAATAGGTTTCCTGGATTTAAGATCCTGAACTCTATGATATTATAAATTCGTGGGTAGAACTTCACGAACAGTACAACACACAATTACTCAACATCAACAAGCTATATATGCATTATAAACCTAGAGAAGAAACAAATACCATGCCCTTGTAGTTATGCTTCCTGAGGAAATTAAGCAAGGGGTACAAGCTTTCTTTGTCTTGGAACAACTTCGAAGAAAGATGACGGTTCAGAAACTGCACCCCATTTCCAATGGATTTCGATAGTGAGGGACGAGGAAAGGAAGCATTGAAGGGCTCAAAATCCAACTCCAGCACAAAGTTACTATTTTGCGAACTGAAAGAAGGCAAGAAAGGTAACAGAAGATCAAATAGTTGTTCCATGTAAAGTAAATAAGACTCTACTGACCACACTATAAAGAAGAAGAAAAAAGAAAAGGATAATCATCTCCTGATATCCTACCACCTACCTTCCATCAGCAAGTTCTTCCTTGAATTGCAGGTACTCGGGTACAGTCAATTCTTCCACGGCAAGCTCACTGATATTGACCCGGACATATTCCCAGACTCCAGGCCTCGGACGAATAGCTAAAGCAACCCATGGAGGAATAACTATGGCTTCCTGCATCAGAGGCAACATGATGTTATGAGAGCATAAAAATCTAAAATTTGATGGCAAGAAAATGTGATCGTTCAATTTATACCTGCGCCGCTTGTATTACATCCTCAAAGGCCCCATCCTTGAGCTTTTCCCTATCTGCTTCAGAAAACACAGCTCCGTATTCAGCCAACAACTGATGAGGTTGCAGCATACCCTTTCCCTGATGAACAAACCTGCCAGATGAAGAAGAATAAACAGGTATGACTTCTGCAAATAGTCATATTATGACCAAATCATAACTGCTGCAATGATCGGCCACCATGGATCATGTAATCACAAAAGTGCTAGATAAATTTAAAGGGTAATTGTCAACAGGGTGAGAACTGATAGGTGGGTGATCTGTTGGTAATTTGGAAGAAGAACTAAATTTGAGGTTTAAAATTCATGGGAACCGATATCCAACCAATGAGTTGGATTCTTTCAGGCAATCTAAGCAAGCTTGAACAACTACAACATCCATAAGGAAGGATCAACATTTCTCACAAAGGCTAAACAGTACATGTGAGATATTTGCAAACCTCGAGAACAGAGCCACCAGTTCGTTTGGATGGGAAGAAAGAGAATCGCCAATGCGTTCCCGAACACTGTGAGCACGGGTCAAGGTGCGTTGAGACATCTCTTATGGTGATTCCTTCAAGCTACAAAGAGCCTAACTGCAACACGACCACAGTAAGTCAACAAGACGAGAATCAGAAATCAGTGCACTAGATGAGTGCATATTGTGTTGAGACTGAGATCACTAGGCCACAAAAGATCGCATCGACATCATTTTATTTCCAGAATAAAACACAAAATAAAATAACTAAAATCTTGAACATTTTAAAGAGAATACTTTCACTTTTAATGTAAAAGAGGATTAACATATTTAACATTATGATAAATTTTAATTGTAATTTCAACGCAAACTTACCATCACTAGCCACACAAAAATAAGCAGATTCCTAAGGGAGATCCAAGAAAGGGACAGACCCAAGAAAAATACTTACAAGTTGTAAACAAGAGGATTTAGAAAAATTAAAACAAGAGAGAATAATACTCAGCTGTATCAAGTTCGAATGTTGAGTTGGCAAGTGCATGGCTAGGCAACAGCTTAGATCTCAAAGAAAGCAGGAGCTCCAAGAGAATCACACAGCGAAAAATATTGATTAGAGACAATAGAGTAGGTTGATTGTTTGTTAGATGCTATCTCCCTTTGTGTTTTCTGTAATGATTGTACCAAAAATAATTCTCTAAAAATAATCACGAAAAGGCAAAGAAGCTCTGCCGGTCGGTTCAGACTGGAAATGTGTTATAGCTTACAGATGAAGCTTTTCAGGCTAAGGCTCAACATTTTCCTAGCTTGTCCGAGGTTTTCTTAGGAGATTTCAGTACTTAAAATGAAAAGAAATTGGAAATTGGTGAATTTTCTTTTACTCATAGGAAGGACTGCAGAGAAAACACCATTAGGAGGGAGGGGTGAGAAAAGAATACTAGAATGCATAGAATTCGAAGCATTTGGTGTGAAGAGAGAGAAGTATGAGTTAGAAATAAAAGGTAGCAAAGACTTCAACCTTCTCTATGTGAATAATCTGCAGAAGGTCTCCACGAAAACATAAGAAAAATGCATCTAAAAATGAGACTTTTAGCTGGACCTCTTTCAGCAAGTTTGACAGAAATTCAAGTGTAAGGAGAAAAAGCAGAGATTTTGATAGAAATTTTCGTTTTCTTCCTTTTCTGATGAACTGCTTTCAGCAAAATAGAACCTTTTTTTCGCTGAATTTGTGCATGAACTTGCGGTAAGATCAACATGATACTACCAACAAAGTAGAAATCTTTGATGCGAGCTTCCCTTCACGAGAGAGCTCAGTGCAAAAAAGGTCTGATTTTTCGGCAGAAATTTGGTAAAAAAAACAGAGCTTTATCCAAGGGAAAAATTTCCGCAGCAATTCGGCTGCAATCTGCAACACCATCAGATCATTCCCCCACAGGAGCAAGAAGAGAGCTTCTCACAAATGCGCGAGAGAAGAACCAAAGAAATAAATGCTATAAGCAAACAAACACAACGCACCGAGTGGAGATCAAGAGAAGGGAGCGAACGGAGTCAGGATGGATTGGTGAGCGGAGCTGCCCTCTCCACCCCTCTTTATATACTACGAAAAAGACCCCACCTTTCGCTTTCTTCAACAGAAGCGATGGTAGGTGTCTCCTCCTCGTTCTCGGTTCGTCCCCCAACACCACCCTTCACTGTGGGCGATTCCGCTTTCCCTTCCTACACTCTTCATACATTCTGGAAATTCCAACAATTCATTACAAACTCGTATTTATTCGTCGAAAAATCTCAACTTTTCATCAAAAACAAAAAAGAACAAACTTAAATTGCCGAGTGTGACTCCACCGCGCATCGCGTGCATCTGAGCTCATACGCCATCAAGATCGAATTTTTCTGCTCGTTAGGCATGCAAGCACACTCACGATCTCTTCCAAGTAGTCTCGCGTGCAGGATTATTCATGTGTTCGCTTCAGAAAAAGGAACTGCCGAGAGGATCAACAACAATAAACACTGTTGATGAGGGAAAAAAGGTTGGGATTACGGAGTCTTTGTACAACTTTTAATGATGAACAACGGGAGAATACAATAAGCATGATATGATGATATGTTTGTAGAGCTGACGTGCGGGAACTACAAATATGAGACCCCACCAACGGGGATTCACATCATCCACACGGTGACGGAGTCGGAGTGATGATCTATCAAAGGAGAACGACGATCGTCGACACTCGAGAGAGTAATACTGACGGAAGAGTCAGTAGTACATAAGCATCCGAACTTGACATCAACGGAGGAGACTTCAAGAAACACTGTACTGGCGGGCCAAACAACACACTCGGGATCGACCCAATAAAATTACCCTTCGCATTAGGGGAAGTAATTTCTTATCGGATCCAACCAAATTCGACAACTATGAATCTGTCTTTGCTCTTAAATCCGAATAGGATTCAAGTTATGCATTTGCACGAATCGGATCCTTATTGATTAGATCCAAATTAGATATTGCTTCAGATTAAAATTAAATTTTATTACAAAATTGAATATACGTTATACTGATTGCATTGAACATATTATTTTTTTATAGTATTTATTAATTATATAAAGCCTTGTCAAATTAGAACGGATATATGCTCCCAGGATCGTCCTCAGAAACTTATCGGATCCATATCTAACAGTCTCCAACCGAACCCGATATCATCACATGTTCGGTGTTCGAACCGGGCAGACGAACCGAAAGATCTTGACCCGAGTGCTGACTTGGCACTAACTCATAGCAAGCAGTGGAGAAGAGAGTGGGCCCCGAGCTATTTGGCTTGTACCCGTTGTAGTCACATGATCGGACCGGGAACAGAAACAAAAAATTGTGACCCGCTTGTTGAGCTGGCATCAATCGAACCGGTCATTGGACCAGAGAGTGGAGCCCAAGCTGCTTGGGTTATCCAAAAGAGGCCTACTGTCATCCTGGGTACGACACGCACGTGCTTGTGGTTACTATAAATAAATAAATAAATAAATATATATATATATATATATATATATATATATATATATATATATATATATATATATATATATATATATATACTTACGATGTTAATGGTTTGCGAGAGAATTCAAAAAAGAAAACCTTTAATTTCAAACTTTTTATATATCGTCCCAATTTTAAGAAATTTTAGCATAATATTTTATTTTTTAAAATGATAATTTTACTTTTATCAATCGTCGCTCTCCGCCTAACTCTTGGCTATATCTTTGTCTCTTCAGCAATTCTTTTTGTCTTAAATAATCACTCATCATCTGCGATGCAAGTACAGTTATAAATAAAGACGACTAGTATCGAAGGTCTTACTCTCGCAAGACTCCAACACTCACCTCCCCTCCCCTCTATCCCCCTCGAATCTATTGCCCACAACCCTTACACGCGGAAAGAAATGGCTTAGGATAATGGTGCAAGAAGGAGGCAATCGAGATAGAAATTTTTCAAAGTTCTAATGCTTTGAAAAATTAGAATTTTTTTCAACAATTCATCTATAATTTAATAATTACAATAGAGACAGTAGAATTTATATTATTATTAATATATTTTAAGATAGTGAGATCATTAATGGTATTTTAAATATTTTAAAATTTTAATTATCATTATATATATATATATATATATAAACAATGTGGAAAAAACTTAATCTTTACAGGTAGAGAGAGATTGTTTTAATTGTTCAGTTGTTGATGATAATCACAAAAGGAACTTTATTGTGATGAGATAATACTAAACATTGTTTCACTAAGCAAACATATCTTCTGTAATTACCAAACTCTTTCACCCTCCATTTTCTACCTTTACAACTCATTGGAAGTCCCCATCAGTTGCATATTATGTGACACAGGAATAGGTTCATCTTGATGAATAATGGAAGTAGAAGAACAAAAAGAACTCTCTCACCCTCCATTTATCATCTATCTAGCTCTTTGCAAGTCCCCATCAATTGCATCTTATGTGAGTGACACAGGAATAATTTCATTATGATGAACAATGGAAGAACAACAACAAAGAACTTCCTTTGTTTTAATATAGCAGAGAATAGGTAACATTTGGTGCAGCCAATGTCTCCTTGACAATGGGGGAATAACATGAAACTCTTCTTTTCTCTTTCCCATAGAGTGCTGTCAAGATTTTGGCATCAAGCTTGAACTCTAAGCAATCAACTAATATTAATTAATCAGTGATAACTCTTCATGTCTGATGCCTCTCACCTCAAGTAAAAAAGTAGGCAGCAAGCAGAGAGCAGCAGCTTCAACCCTGCAAGGATCTGAAGTTGATGGGGGCAGAGATGATTGCAGGTGGCATCTCTCTCTCTCTCTCTCTCTCTCTCTCTCTCTAAAGTAACATCAAATAGAGTTTCTTTCATCAGTGACCACCCCCTTGATTTGTTTATCTTATCAATGGATAGCACATCTCATTGGGATAAGGCGGATATTTAAAGTTGCTGGTAACTTTTTTGCAGACCATATACTGTCTTTAGGTGTCAAACTATGGAGTTTGAAATATATATTTTTCATAGATTTTAGTACACACAACATGATCCTTTTTATTTTCATAACACTCTTAGCTGATAGATATAATTGGGTGAAATCTAGATTGATTTAAGATTGGAGCAACAGAAGCAGTGATCATATTCACATTAAACATGAATGCTATTACTGTTCATAAACACAGCATCTCTATAGTAACAGTGATACTAAACCCAAGTAGTATTAGATCAGTTCTCAAAACAGAAGAGACTAATCACACTTGGCTTGAGACACTCAAAGGTGCCTAATATCCTGATGATAATACTTAGATGATAATAACAAAAAATAAGTTATATCGAGAAATTTATAAAACTCAAAAATAATGAATTTTGATAGCTCTCTTTCTAAATCACAGACTCGACTCGATTAATTCCACAAACTTCAGCAGCTGGAAGAATCACACAAATGATACACATCAAAAAAAAAAGAATAAGCTGGCCTCATTTGATAGCAGAACATAGTGTCTTGGAAGACTAATTTGGCCATATTGAACAATCAGGAAAATACAAACTTTTACTACCATATCATAGCAGTATTATTTTATTACTTTGATTCAAGGTATCAACATCTTGTTAGCATCATATTGAAAGCAGTTGCAGTGTCTCTCAAAACCTATTCCAAGAAGCCATAATATGCTTAATACATTTTGAGAGTTACTTTTTACCTTCTAATAAGATAAATCCAAATAAGGTAGATCAGCCAGCCAGTCTTCATCATCCATACATGCTTAAGTTACTGTAAGTGACTGCAAAATTTCTACTTTCAACTGGTACACAAACACAGGAAAAAAACACATTCTGACAAAATATTACATCCTGGATATTTGGGCTCATTCACTAACATGTTTATTTATGCTATTATGTACAACAAAACATCTGGTTGGACACAAAAATAAAAGGAGCTTAGCTCTGAAAGAATTGCATCTATATACCGATCCATACTACTGTTTTTTGAGACACCGATCGAATTGTCTGAGACCAAATATGCTGGTGCGGGACCAATATATTACAGATGAATGTCGTGGGTGTTGTTTATCCTTCTCCTAGTTCAATCTCCATATATATGCATCCTTCAATCCTCATTGGAACTGAGCAACAACGGAACTCACAAGGCAGAAGAGCAATGATGAAAAGGATCTAAGCGATGATGCGGGTACTTTGACATCAGTAACAAAGAGTCCCTCCATAGGCAACCCAATGGGCAAACCCATCTGAAAATTCACCAAGGTTGGAGCTTTGTGCAGCATCAATGGCAGGTTCACCTTGCTTTGGTTCTACTTCCTGTGTAAAAAGTAACATATCTTATATTCTAAATAGTTGGAAAAGAAAAAAATACAGCAGTTGCTAGATTCAACTATATGAGATAGAATCATGTACCATCAAACAAATAACTTATCAAGCCTGATTTATTGATCTAAGTATTTACAACACAAATGTAGTTGGGAAAAAAACCCATTTGTAGACAAAACAAGTAGCTTGCTTAAATAATATGCATAGGACACAGTGCTGTCCACTATAAAAGATTGATTAGCACTTTCTGACTCACCAATGATCTTACTTAGCAACTACGGTTTATTCTCCGTAGAACAATTTAAGAAACCCATTCATTGGTTTTAAGAATAAGGCTACAGACGGACAGATGTGCTACAAGCAAAAGATCAGTTTTCAACTTGCACAGATTAAGAAACAAAGTGCTTAAGAACAATGGCAAAAAGAACAAACCTCGATATTAGGACCTTCGTCACTCAAAATGTTAATTTCTTCATCGATGACATTTTCAGTGGAAAGATTCCCTGTTGGTGAGTTAATAAGAGAGGACCTGCAAGAAAAGCGAAAGAAAGAAGAAAGAACATATCCAAGTTAGTTATAGTACTGAGGCATAAAGAAAACCACTTCTTTATAAGAAGGCTCGAGAACTTTCTAAACTAGGCTCATATTTGAAGAAACAAAGATTTTCTTAATTAATTTATGATAAATTTCATGAATTTTAATCATCTAATGCCATGCTTTCTTACCTACAGCGAAGCTTTAAAGTGCTCACTAAAGTACAAACAGGACAATTGCCAGGGTCATGTAAATTGCAACATAATACACACATGTTAAACAAAAAATTTTAA